AAAAAAATCGAAGTACAAATTTTCCTTTATTACTAGCTAGATAGAGAGAAATTAATGTTGGGCTTGTAGACAGAGGCAGGTCTGTTAAAATAGATGTAAACCCTTCAGTACAGTATAACATGAAGCTGCACACAGCTTGTTCCGAGAGGCTTCAAATCAACATTATTGTTCCAGCACAAATGAGGAAACTCTACAGTGCACCTCTATTGACATTGTTGCCCTCTGCTGTTGCTTAGACCCTGCAGTAGAAGTCTGAAGTTGAACCCCAGTAGGGGATAAAATGCCTCAAAAAGGTGATAGGTGGAGAGTCCTTAGAGTGTTCTGGTGATGGGGTAAAACTGGTGGTGTTCTGCTGCTGGGGTAAATTACTGTATGCCTTGCTTGTGTGCACAGATCTGTAAACCTAAAATCCTTTTAAGTACTAATATTTGTCTGCAAAAACTTGCTGATTGCTAGCTCTTCAATTGTCAACATCTTACTACTTTTTTTCTCATACTTTTAACTTGTTTTAGTTTATAAATTTTAGATGTCGGTAGTTATATTATTATTATTATATTATTATTATTATACAGACTTTAGCTCCAACAGTTTGTGCAGCTCAATACAACGAAAGGGAGGTAGTATCATTATAATACAAACACATTCCAAATGGGTTAGCAAAGCCCTGCTCGTAAGAGTTTAAAGGAAAATCCACCTTTGGAACATGTTACATGTTCCACCCGTTTACTATCTGTCAGATTTGAAAACAGCACAGCTGTGAGGGGCTCCGCCCACACGGCTTCATCACTCATTCACAGTGTTCTGTGAATGAGTGCCTACAAGTCCCAACAGCCTTAGTAGTCGTGGGCTGGTAGTTCATTGAAGCTTCCTTTGAGTATATCTGCTTGCTCGTACACATCCCGTACAGAAAGCAGATATTATGACAGGTCTGCAGGAGAACTGCATGGCATCAGCGATCTATTCATTGCTGGTACAGTGCTTTACAGGCTCCTTTGGACAAAGATTATAAATGCACATTTTTTTTTTGCCTAAAGGGACAAAGTGAAATTTATGTTGTTAGGAAGAGGTGCGTTAGGCTTCTCTAAAGGCATATGCTTTCAAGGGTTGTCTGAAGGGAGTTTCAGTGGAAGGGAGAGACTCTCGAGAAATCCTGGAGACAAGCATGGGAGGAGGGGACGTGGGAGCTAGAGAGCAGGAGGTCTTAGGAGGAGAGAAGAGGATGTTTTGGATGATATTTTGAGAAGAAGCTGGTGATGTAGCTAGGGGAAGAGTTATGGATTGCTTTATATGTTGTTGCTAGTATTTTGAATTTTAAGCATTGGATGAGAGGAAGCCAGTGGAAAGATTGGTAGAAAAGGTTAGGTTAAATAGGTGGAGGAGTCTGGCCATGGCATTCATGATGGACTGAAGGGGAAATAGCTTGTGTAGAGGTAGGCTAAAAAAGAGGGAGTTGCAATAGTTGAAAAGGAAGATAACAAGGGAGTGAAATAGAAATTTGTGTTGTTTTCTAAGCAGTGTCACATTTGGAAAATGTTGCAGAGATGAAGGTGGCATGATTTGGATAGTAATTGGATGTGTGGGTGAAAGTAGGATTCCAGGATTACATTTAGCACTGTGGTCTGAGGGGAGTGATTGACTGCAGTGTTGTTGATCTCAATGGAGAAGCTGGGGAGGGGATGTGGGGGGGGGGGGGAGAAAATATTATGAGCTCAGTTTTTGAAAGATTGAGTTTGAAAAAGTGGTGCAGCATCCTTGCAGATATTTTATTTAGTATGTTAGTCATATATAAGAAGACAAAAGGGGTATGTTGAAATGCTGGAAATGGTGAGAGGTCAACAAATGACCAAAAGAGGAGGTGTGGATAGAGAATAGAAGGTGCTAGAGAAGAGATCATTTGGGGGGACTCCTATGAAAAAAGAGGAAAGGGAGACAAAGATACAGAGTTGTGATTACAGTACATCAGGTAGTAGTTACTGCCTTTTATGGTAGAATCTCGCAACACCTTTGAAAGAAAAAAATGTAAAAAAAACAAAACGAAAAAAAAACTGTACACATCACAACCCTGCCATATCCCTATATACTATTTTTTTCAAAAAATATGAGAGCCAGGGACGGACTGACCATTTGGAAACTCGGGCACTGCCCGAGGGCTCTGGGTCAGTAGGGGGCCCCATGAGATGCCTCTGGTACCTTTTTTTCATAGGCTTTTTCGAGTTTGGTCAAGTACACAGGGGTCCATGATCCCCTATTGCCCGGGGGCCCATGAGTTGTCAGTCCGCCCCTGATCAGAGCTATACCTTTTTGCATGGTTTGCTAAACTTGGCCAGCACCATGACAACACACGTGAACATGACCAGGTAGAATAGGTATGTATTTCCCTCACTAGCAACTGAAGTGTAATCATCTCAGAGACACATTTGCAAGAAAAAACTGACCCAGCCCGTTTTGTGAGCAGATTGAAGAGGGGAAAAGGCGCTTTGACACAAGGCAGGTGTTTTGTTACACTAAAAATAAAAGTGAACTGTCTCAAAGGCACTTCAATAAAAAATTGACCATCGGCAAGTAGGTAGGTGTCAGGGCTCCCAGGTGTGACCAGAGATGTGTGACTGACGCAGGGAAACGCAGACTTCAGATATGTGATAAACAATGTAATTTATTAACACTAGCAATACAACCATAAACGCAGTGCAATACTAAAACATAATACAGTGAAAAACAAAACCAAAACCAACCACCCACAGATAACAGTACAAACAAGCAAGCGTCGTCAGGCAGGCCGGGTCAATATCAATAGGGCAGGTAGGTACAGGGGGAGCAAGCGGAGATGGTCGGGGTCACAGGCCAGGTTCAGCAGGTAGCAAGCAGTGTAATACAGAGGGTCAGGCAGAGAGGGATGGTCAGGGTCACAAGCCAGGGATCAGAACAGGTAGCAAGCAGCGTGGGTACAGAGGGTCAGGCAGAGGGATGGTCAGGGTCACAAGCCAGGGATCAGGAAAACAGGGTCAGCAGAGAATCAGACAGGAACAGAGAGCAGGAACAGGATACAGGATGCAGGACAGATACAGGGCCAGGACAAACACAAACACCAAGGCAGAGTCTGCAAGTCTGGCCATCCCTTAAAAACCCCAGCATAATCAGTTCCAGGTGTTAGCTGGCTGCAAAGTTGAGTCTCTGATTGCTGGGAGCATCCGCTGGCCAGCCCTGGTACTGCAGATCAAAAGGCAGGTGAGTCCCACCATTGCTGGCTAGTCCATTCCTGACAGTTTACCCCCCCCTCAAGGAGCGGCCTCAGACGCTCCAAACAGTCCTAGCTGGGCAAAATGTTCCACCGCCCGGGTCTGGTAACTGGCGGGATATCAAAGGACTGGCACACCGGGCAGGACTCCGGGCAGTGGCACACCGGGCAGGGGCACCAGTCCGGGCAGAGGCACATTGGGCAAAGGCACACCGGGCAGGACTCCGGGCAGAGGCACATTGGGCAGGACTCCGGGCAGAGGCACATCGGGCAGGACTCCGGGCAGAGGCACATCGGGCTGGACTCCGGGCAGAGACACATCGGGCTGGACTCCGGGCAGAGGCACATCGGGCAGGACTCCGGGCAGAGGCACATCGGGCCTGGACTCCGGGCAGAGGCACATCGGGCTGGACTCCGGGCAGAGGCACATCGGGCTGGACTCCGGGCAGAGGCACATCGGGCTGGGACTCCGGGCAGAGGCACATCGGGCTGGACTCGGGCAGAGGCACATCGGGCAGGACTCCGGGCAGAGGCACATGGATTACCAGGCGAAGCAGCAGGCAGCGGGGCCACCAGGGCAGTAGCAGCAGGCGCCGGGCCCCGGGCGGAGCAGCAGGCGCCGGGCCCCCGGGCGGGAGCAGCAGGGCGCTGGGCCCCCGGGCGGGGCGACAGGCGCCGGGCCCCCGGGCGGAGCAGCAAGCAGCAGGCGTCGGGCCCCCCGGGCGGGGCGACAGGGCAGCGGGCCCCCAGGCGGAGCGACAGGCATCGGGCCCCCAGGCGGGGCGACAGGCATCGGGCCCCAGGAGGGGCTCGACAGGCATCGGGCCCCCAGGAGGGGCGACAGGCATTGGGCCCCCCCAGGCGGCGGTGGGCGCGACACAGGTCTCGGGCCCTCAGGCGGAGCGGCGGGCGCCGGGCCCCCCAGATGGAGCGACAGGTCTCGGGCCCCAGGCGGAGCGACAGGTCTCGGGGCCCAGATGGCGGATGAGCGGCGGGGCGCCGGACCCCCAGATGGAGCGACAGGTCTCGGGCCCCAGGCGGAGCCAGGCGGGCAGGGTGGGGCGCCGGACCCCCAAGTGGAGTGACAGGTCTCGGGCCCTTAGGCGGAGCGGGCGCGCGGCGGGCGCCGGACCCCAAGTGGAGCGACAGGTCTCTCGGGCCCTCAGGCGGAGCGACAGGTCTCGGGCCCTCAGGCGGAGAAGCGGCGGGCGCCGGACCCCCAGGCGGAAGCGAGCGACAGGTCTCGGGCCCCCAGACGAAGCGGCGGGCACCGAGTCACCAGGCACGACAGTGGGCACCGAGTCGTCTGGCAAGACTGCGGGCACCGAGTCGTCTGGCAAGACTGCGGGCACCGAGTCGTCTGGCAAGACTGCGGGCATCGAGTCAACTGGCGGAACAGCGGGGCATCGAGTCAACTGGCGGAACAGCGGGGCATCGAGTCAACTGGCGGAACTGCGGGCACCGAGTCGTCCGGCAAGACTGCAGTGGGCACCGAGTCGTCTGGCAAGACTGCGGGCACCGAGTCGTCTGGCAAGACTGCGGGCACCGAGTCGTCTGGGGAACAGCGGGCATCGAGTCAACTGGCGGAAGAGCGGGCATCGAGTCAACTGGCGGAAGAGCGGGCATCCGAGTCAACTGGCGCGGAAGAGAGCGGGGCATCGAGTCAACTGGCGGGACCTGCGGGCATCGAGTCAACTGGCGGAACTGCGGGCACCGAGTCGTCTGGCAAGACTGCGGGCACCGAGTCGTCTGGCAAGACTGCGTGGGCACCGAGTCGTCTGGCAAGACTGCGGGCATCGAGTCGTCTGGCAAGACTGCGGGCACCGAGTCGTCTGGCAAAGACTGCGGGCACCGAGTCGTCTGGCAAGACTGCGGGCACCGAGTCGTCTGGCGGAACAGCGGGGCATCGAGTCGTCTGGCAAGACTGCGGGCACCGAGTCGTCTGGCAAGGACTGCGGGCACCGAGTCGTCTGGCAAGACTGCGGGCACCGAGTCGTCTGGCAAGACTGCGGGCACCGAGTCGTCTGGCAAGACCAGTGGGCTCTGAGTCAACAGGCACGACAGTGGGCACCGGGTCATCAGGTATCGGATTGTCTGGCTCGACAGCGGGCATCGGGTCACCAGGTATGACAGCGGGCACTGGGTCACCAGGCATCAGGTCATTTGGCTTGCCAGCGGGCACCGCGTCATCTGGCAAGGCAGTGGGCACCGGGTCACCAGGTATGACAGCGGGCTCTGAGTCAATTGGCACGACAGCGGGCACTGGATCAGGTACCGGATCATCTGGATCAACAGCGGGCATCGAGTCAACTGGCCTAATAGGATCGTCGGGCTGGATCAGTTCATCATGCTGAGTAGCGGCATCAGGCTGAATGCAGGCATCAGGCCGAGTAGAGGCTTCAGGCCGAGTAGAGGCTTCAGGCCGAGTAGAGGCATCAGGCCGAAGAGAGCATCAGGCCGAAGAGAGGCATCAGGCCGAGAGAGGCATCAGGCCGAAGAGAGGCATCCGGCTGAAGAGAGGCATCCGGCTGAAGAGAGGCATCCGGCTGAAGGAGAGGCACCCGGGGGACTCTGAAGGAGGCATCCGGTTGGAAGAGAGGCTTTTTTCAGGCTACCTGAAGAGAGGCTTCAGGTCTGAGTAGAGGCTTCAGGCTGAGTCACGGAAGGCAGAGGGTTCACCGGTTAAAGGCAGGATAGGTGCAGCGAGTGGGAACAGGGTACTGACATGCGGGTAGATAGCCAAGTATACTGGGCTGTAACTGGAGGAGCTGGTGGGAATACAGGAGTAGAGTTAGAAGAAGCAGGACTGGGGTTTTTGTAAGCTGACTGAGGCTGGGTGCAACAAGTCTGTCCATGTCTGCAGTATGGGTTGAACAAAGCTGAGCTTACACAAAGCCTGTCTGGTCAATGACTGCACTGCGTTTATACAATCTCTTAGTGTCTGTGGTGAACATGTGGAATAACGCTCCAGAAAGTAATCCACATCATCCTCTAATAACCACACCAGGGGACTCTACCTGGTCTGCACTAAATGGTGGCAAAAATTCATCCCTGCAATCGGGGGGAACCAGATGAAACCAACTCAGCACAAACTCAATCAATGGCTGCACCTCAGAGAACTCTGTGCCCTGATCTACTAGAACATGAGCGAGCCGTATACATTCTTCTAGTAGTTGATCCCGGGGATACTCCTTCAGAGTTTGATAAGCATACTCTCTGTCATCAAACACTAGCAGATATAAATACACAACCTCATCCAGATCCATCCTTCCCCAGCAACAAGCCAAGATGGCTTCCCTGTGCAGCTGGCCACTTCTGGTCAGGATTGGCCTTGGTGTAATGTCAGGGCTTCCAGGTGTGACCAGAGATGTGTGACTGACGCAGGGAAACGCAGGACTTCAGATATGTGATAAACAATGTAATTTATTAACACTAACCAATACAACATAAAACGCAGTGCAATACTAAAACATAATACAGTGCAAACCAAACCAAACCAACCACCCACAGATAACAGTACAAACAAGCAAGCGTCGTCAGGCAGGCCGGGTCAATATCAATAGGGCAGGTAGGTACAGGGGGAGCAAGCGGAGATGGTCGGGGGTCACAGGCCAGGTTCAGCAGGTAGCAAGCAGCGTAGTACAGAGGGTCAGGCAGAGGGATGGTCCTTCATGGTCAGGGTCACAAGCCAGGGATCAGAACAGGTAGCAAGCAGCGTGGTAAGAGAGGGTCAGGCAGAGGGAACATGGTCAGGGTCACAAGCAGGGATCAGAACAGGGTCAGCAGAGAATCAGACAGGAACAGAGAGCAGGAACAGGATACAGGATGCAGGACAGATACAGGGCCCAGGACAAACACAACACCAAGGCAGAGTCTGCAAGTCTGGCCATCCCTTAAATACCCCAGCATTATAATCAGTTCCAGGTGTTAGCTGGCTGCAAAGTTGAGTCTCTGATTGCTGGGAAGCATCCGCTGGCCAGCCCTGGTACTGCAGATCACAAAGGCAGCTGAGTCCCACCCATTATTGGTGAATTCATTCCTGAGAGAGGGTGTGTTGCACTTGTCTGCTGAGCTCCAGAAAAGGCCCGAGAAGCCTGGGGCTAAAGTGCCCTGCCCAGCCCAGGCAGGATGGCGGATCCTGGGCCTGGGTCCAGCGTAGGGAGAAGGCCCTGGAGGGGCCTAGTACCGGCCGCCTCTCTTTTCCACCAGTAGAGGACCTGGGAATGGCCCCCTAGGAAGGGGAATAGTTTATTCTGCCTACCGGGACCGTGTGGCACCGCTCGGGCCAGGTTAATAGAGAAGGAGGAAAGCCAAGTTCCAGAAGCTGACTCTGGAGCTAAAGAAGAAGCTCGGTCATCTTCCTACGACCGTGTATGGTCTACTAAGCGGCAGGCCATGAAACCGGACCTGGAGGCGCTGGAACTTCGTGTGTCACAGCAGGGGGGTATGTGGCGGCGCTGCAGGCGCCAGAGCGGAGTCCTAAGCGAGAAGTATTCTGATATGAAGCGAGATTTAAGGCTGCAAGAAGCCGCAGTGTTGCGGCGATGCGGGGTCCGGGTGGAGGAGGCCTCTTCGGTGGAGGAATTGTCGGGGGGAGTTGCTGGTGGAAGGCGAGCAGGGGCAGGTTGAGCCCACAGCACCCTCAGAGGAAAATGGCGTCTAACATGGAAGACAGCCGTGGTGGCAGGATCATCTAGAGTCCCTCCCCCCCTGGGCAGCTTGCCTGTGGATTTGGGGACCCAGGTGGAGGAGGAGGAGGAGATTAGTGGGCGGATTGTGCAGTTCCTGGCAGAGGCGGTTGCAGAGCTGTGTGGAGCCGACTTCAGGTTTACGTCCGAAGGACTCAGAGGAAGAAGCTGAAAGTGTTGTCTATCCCCCGCAAAGCCGGCTAAGCCGGTGGTGAAAGAGCATGCTGCCTTTGTCATGCTGCAACGCATCCCCCAAGGAACGTGTTGGCAAAGGCAGGGGAGCCACTGGAAGGGGAGAAGGACTCTGCTGATTGTGTTGGTGAGATGGTTCTGGACACACTGGGGGTAGGGTTATCTATTTTAATGCCTGCAAAAATTGTCTGAGCTGCAGGTTAGCCCTACAGTCCTGGCTAAGGGTGTTTCCCCTCCGGTGGTGGTCCCACTGGGCCCCGCCCCTTTGGGGGGCATGGTGGCCTCTGGTGTGCAACCAGCAGGTCCCCCGGGTTTCTCCTCAGGGGGCTCCAGGTTCTCAGGGTCCAGGCTCCTGCGGGTCCGGCTCAGGTGGGTTCTCCCTGCTGGTATGGGGTGGTCCCCAGCCCCCGGGCTCCCCCAGGTCATGGCTCATCAGCATCTGCCCCTTCAGTTGCTGCTGCTGGCTGTGTGCGGCTTTCCCTGGTCATGCCCCCCTTGATGTTGAGTGCCCCTGGGGCTGGATCGGGGGCTCTCAGTTACTCTGCTGCAGTTAGGGAGGAGGTCAGGGGTCAGTGGGATCGGGCCGGGATACGGGCCTATTAAGGGCAGGTAAACCTACCCACTTCCGCCGCAAGGCGAAATGTTGTTCAGCTGAAATGGTCAGGGGAGGGCCCCCCCCCTTAGCAGGAGAGAGGTCATAGACCGCATATTAGAAATGGGCTTCCATGCCGCAGATATTTTTGCGTTTATTGCTCCAGTTGGTACTGGAGAATATGACGTGTCCTTCATGCGGCCAGAATTGTTGGACCTCTTTTGGCAGAGGTATGAGGCCACCTTTGTCACCAGCCCTAGGTGGGTGGGCCTAACCCCGAGGCTCGTCTCTCGCCAGTCCTGATTAAAAAAATAACGGTGCTGGTGAGAAATGAATCCATCCCTGCATCAGATATTGTGGTCTGGCTAAGCAGATATGGGGATGTGATGGGGCCCCTTGGGAAGATCAAGGATGAGAGGGGAATATTGGAAGGTGGGTGTGACGACACACCGTCCGCTTAAAAGGTGGTTGGAAATGTGCTCCAGCTGCACATTCCCTCTTCCGCTTTTCTAGGGAAGGACCGCCTGATAATTTTTTATGCGGGTCAGCCGAGGGTCTGCACCGGTGTGGGGGCAAGGGGCATTTTGCGCGCCACCTGCCCCGTCTCATTAGATGTTCCCTGTGTCAGGAAATAGGACACCTGGCCAGGGGACTGCTGCAATGTTGTCCGATGCAATCTCTGCGGGGAGCTTGGGCATTCATACAACCAGTGCCCGGAGGCCCTCCACAACCTTTCCGGTGGGGGAGCTTGAAGCAGAGTTGGATCGGGTAGATGCTGAAGAGGCGGAGGCGGCATTGGAGAGAGCGGCTTTCGGTTGTTGTGGGGGCCCTTGTGAGGGAAGGGGAGGTTTCTGTGGCCCCTCCTGTCTCTGTCCCCCTGTTTCGTCTACCCCTTTGGAGTCCCCTTGTTTTTCCCCCTTGTGTGCCCGGTTCCTCCTCCCAGGATAAGAAACAGCTGAGGGAGGCTGCTAAAGGGGCCGGTATGGTTGAGGCTAGGTCTAGTCCCTCAGTGTCTGCTCCCCCCTTGCTCTTGCCGCTGCGGCGGAGTAGGAGGCCCGGTAGGGAGTCCGTGAGTCCCAAGGTTCTTTGCTCCGGTAGAGGCTCGGGTGTGGAGGAGGGGTGGTCCCTGGTGGGTAGGCGGAGTAAGCCAGTTTTGTCCTCATGCGGCGCGGTCGGTGTCCTCTTTTTAGAGGTGGGGGAGGTGGCCCTGGGGAATAGGGTTTGGGGCTTTGTCGGGGGAGGAGGAGGGGTCAGGTGATCCCGCTTCCCCCGATGGAGGACGAGAGGATGCTGGGGGGTCTCTTAAGAGAGTGAGGGACCCTGCCAAGAAAGTCAAGAGGAGGATTTAAGAAACGTCCCTCTCAATTATCTTAATGGCAGTTCCCGCTCCGATAAAGGTGGCAACCATTAATGTTGCCAGCATAAAGTCTGTAAGTGCTAGAGAAACAGCCTTATTTTTGATCAGTGGGATGGAAGCTGATATTTTCTTTTTGCAGGAGACCAGGTTGCCCACCTTGGCTGATGTCCATCTGGCCAAGCGTGAGTGGAGGCGTGGGCCCTCCTACTGGTCTCTTGCGGCCTGAGCTTTACAGCGGAGTGTTGCGGTGCTTTTTACCGGCATGGTAACGTGTCGGCGGATAATTGAGGTAGAGATCGGAAGATGTCTGATTCTGGATGTTCTCGTAAGGGGGCATGAGCTCCGTCTCATTAATATCTATGGCCCACAGTCCAAGTGGGGACAGGAAGAACCTCTTTGCGAGGATATTAAACCTTACCTCTTTACATCCCGGCTGGTAGTCTTTGGAGGTGATTTTAACACCATTACTAGGCCCAAGGACAGGAGAGGCTTCACTGACGGGCTGGGATATGATAGCAATTTTCTAAATGCTATAGTCAGGGAGGCAGATCTGGTTGACGCTTGGATTCAAAGTGTCCCAGACGGCACGGGTTTCACTTTAGGAGAGGTAATAGCCAGAGTAGGATAGACAGGTTTTTTTGAAGGGAGAACTCTCTGCCTTCTCGGCACCTGAGTGTCAGGCGGTGGAGTTTTCCGATCACCTTATGCTATCTGTCACCTTGAATATTTCAGACACGCCGCTGAGAGGAAAGGGCATCTGGAGGATGAATTCGTCTCTGCTGGAGGACGAGGAGAGGTGAGACGATCTTTCGAGGAGTTCTTTCAGGCGCAGGAGACGGTGCTGGATTTCTGTGGCAGTAAG